ATTCATCTACTATACGAGGATCTCCTTGGCCGGAAAACTTTTCTAGATGGTAGTCGTGAAACTGGGCGACCACTGTGGCCTGTGGGAGTTCCTAGTGATTTGGTTCTCTACGAGGAGGCATCTGAACATTAAAATGTTTAACATGATTAATTAACATAAACGGTTAACTGACTGACTACTTAAGTACACAAATTTCTTGACGAGTCGCTAAATAACCCGAGAATACTAAAGTCGAACTATCAAATGACTGAGACAATCGACTAGGTTCTGAAAATACTCGAGCATCTTACTGGTTTCTAGGGTCCAATATCTGATACCCTCTTACTGAGCATAGACTTAAGTATTCATTTAAATATATAAACTGTAACTCAGCACTTACCTGATAGTCGGCGAGGCGTGAACGTAGCGTGGTCGGGTCTTTTCTGAAAATTTCTGACTTTAAAAGTATTTAGATACACGAAAATGTTCTCTGATACCAATTTGTAACACCCCGCTAGCTTTATTAAAATCAGAGTGCGATTTTCGCAAATTCTTTTCTAAAGTTTACGTTTTAGTTTGCGAAACATATCTCTGTATGCTACATAAAATATTTCTTTTCTAAAAATCCGTTAACTTTATTAATTGTAAACTCATTTAAGAACACGGATTATCCTTTATAAAACAAGCGTGTGATAATGTATAAAATCTGACCCGAAGGCTCAGATCGTCATCTGAAAATTTACACGCTAGTTTGAAAGTCTGAAAACATCAGCGGAAGTAAAACGTGGCAAATATTTACAAGTCAACAGTCTGCAAAAACATATACATATTTACATGGACTGGACCAGCGACCACCAGCTCCACTCACTCCTCCGGACCGACTCTGTCACCTGAAAAGATCATAATAGTGGGATCGTGAGTACTAAAAACACTGTACTCCGCAGAATCTCATACTAAAGTAAACATTAATAATAATATCAATATCATGACTGCAGGTATATATAAGAAAATTGTAATCTCCGACACTGGGTCGGTAACTGAACTGAACCTCCTCGGACACTATGTCCGTCCATGTGCACATTCCGATGGCCTATTAAGGCTACTGCGCCTCCACCGGAACTCGGGATGGCCTATTAAGGCTACTGCGCCTCCACCCAGAGTGGAAAAACTCATATACATACCTTAAAACATGATAGAGCAATTATAAACAATGTAATACCCAGTCTGAGTACCCACCTGAACTGATAATGTAAGTGCTGCTGCTGATCACTCTGTGAAAATGTATAAATAAACAAATACTAAGTACTA